CCCCAAAACCCCAAAACCCCTTCATATAGAAAACAATGGATATTTGAAAGTAAGTGAATTAAAGTTAAACTTGCTGGCTATACAATATCAATCACTCTGTAATCGAATGCGTTACCAACTAGTTTTAAATTAAATCTGAGGTTTGAAGTATCAAATCTTTAGATTATGTCAGAGATTTCTTTTTATGATAAATTGACTGAGTTCTTCAATTTTCTTTTTAGCGTCTCCCTCTGGCAAGACTGGATTAATAGCCGTCCATGATTTTTCGACGAGTTGCTTTGCCTCTTTATCTGCTTTATCAAATGCAGATTAGTTTTGATGAATAGCTTTATATGCTTGTTCAAGTTTAGCTACATCTTCTGTATGAGAGTTTAAAATTTCTTTGATAAGCTTCTTATCCTTCCCGCTTTTAAGAGCATTAATCACAACCAAAGATCTCTTTCCCTCTCTGATATCCTCATATTTATCTCTCTCTTGAGCATATTCCTAGCTTTTCAATGCAATAATGTCATCCTGAATTTAGAATGCAGCCCCTAAGCTATTCAAGAAACTGGATAGCTTTACTACTTAGGAATTTTTTAAGCGAAGGGCAGCACCTAAGGATCTTGCGTTCATTCTTGGCAATGTTGATGTCTTGTTGACAACCATCTGATGATAGAAATTTGCATTTGGTTCAACCTTGCCATTATGCCAGTTAATATCCCAGTTCTGGCCGAGCATTAAATTTACCATTTCCTAGTTGAAGATTGTCAATATCTTAGCTCTTGCTTTTTTATCAGTTATGTACTTATCAATTTTAAGTAAGGGGGCAAAATATAGGAAGGTGCTAGTATTTGAAGCGATATCAGCACCATATTTAATATAGGTGCAGGGTTCACCTCTTCTAAATTTACTGTTATCTTGAAGATCATCTATCATCAAGGATCCATTGTGTACTAACTCTACCAGCCCACTCAAATAATATACATCTTTGTTTGCTTCTAGATTTTTTATATCTCTACCGAATGCTTCAGCCAATATGAGTCCAAGTGCTGGTCTCCATCTTTTACCCCCTCTGTCAATTAGGTCATGAGCAGGCTCTAGGATGCCTTTGTTTACTGATGCCAAGTCAGCTTCCTTAGCTCTATTTGATGATAGTAAAGTTGGAAAAGTTTCTTTGAGATGATCAATAGTTTCAATCTTTTTTGGAAGGAGTTCATTGATAATGTTAGATTTGATGAAGAGCTAATTGTATGCTTATAAGAACTCAGGTGGTTAGTTTTGAGATGAGAACTTTCTTTAGCTCGAAAAAATAATGTCTCTTTTGACTACTTTTCTTAAGATATTCATTTATTTTGTTATAAAATTAAGATTACCAATAAACTATTATATCTCTTTAAAAATTAAAGCATAGAATTTACTCCCGGGGTTTTGGGGTTTTGGGGTTTTGGGGTTTTGGGG